CTCCTCCCCTGCTCTAACGGAAGAACTCTCAATTCTGAGCTAACCATAGACAGAGACATGGGGTTGGGGGAACATCTCACAATCCTTTAAAGTTAGTAACCAGGATGCTCCTTTGCGGGGGGTGGGGGGTGTCCATCTGAGGCTTTGGGCAAGGCTGTCCAAGCACTGAGCCCCGAGTCCCCATTTCCAGCCTCAGACAGGAGTTTCCAGATGCTTTGAGGGCTAATGATGCGCCCAGCTGAAGACTTCTGTCTGCATCGGCAAGTCTGCCTCCGCAGCAAGACCTAAATAAACCCTGACCCATCCAGTGCTAATGAGAGTGGGCGAATAGGCATATTCAGTCTGCAAGGGCCATGCAGTCGCGCTAAGCCTGTTATTACGCTGTAGCTTTCAGTTGTCGAGAAAACCCGACTTTTCCTCTCCTGGGGAGGTTCTTGTCGCTTTTAAGACGAAAATGGGTGAATTTCTAGCAGACCTTTTTTGGTCCAGAAAGGCAAGGTTTTTGGCCAGCAAGAATCAGTTTCTCAGGAGTGTGAGGCAAAGGCAAAGGAACTGCACTTTGAAATGGAAGCATGTGATAGCCATTCTACACTCAGGAGGCCACAGTTCTGTGAGTGCCTACGTTTGCTGGCGCCCAGGACAGGAAGAGTAACTGAAGACTCCCCTTGCCCAACAGCTCGTGGGAGTTGATCCAAGACCCACTATTTCAAATTCACAAGCGATGATCTTCTAATATTAAACATAAATCCACTGAAACAAGGGCTCTGAGATGTCTGCTCTGGACCTGGACTTGTAAGGAAGACAGAGTACCAGCTGACCCTGGGAGGACTCCCAGGACATTCTTTACTTCAGTTACCCTTCTCTCTACCTCTGTCCAATTTCTCACACTCAAAACCAGATCAGCCCTCGGAACCACCTTCTGTTCCTGTCCCAGATCCAGCTGCTCCTGAAGGGTAGATAAGTTTCCAGCAGTGACACCGTCCCCAACCCCTCCAGGGCACAGCTGCAGAAAACAGACCGAGGAAATCCTCTGGGGGCCCAGGAGGCTGCTATAGGCCCTGGGGTGGGGCGGCATTATCTCTTCTTTGTCTGGAACCCTGCCTGTCCTGATCTTCAACCACACCCTCCTCGCCTAGGAGCCGGAAGATCGAAACTACACCAAGGAACCAGGATTGTGTTAGGGTTCCCGCATTCACTCCACCCAATGGCGCTTGATGGATCAAAAGTGGGCTAAGAATTCACACAGCAGTTCTGTTCAACCACCAGAGAGGTGGGAGTGTGGGAACGCCCCGAGGGAAGCAGTTGGGGACACCTCCACCCCTGCTCTAGTTCAGGCCTGGGAACTCAGATTCTAAAGTCTTACAGCTAAAAGGGTCGTGAGGCTATGTCTTCCCCATTTTATAGATATGAAACCTGAAGCCAAGACAAGAAGCTACTTGTCCAAGGTCACTTAGCATGTCCGGGATAGAGGAAAGGCTGTGAACCAGAAACCTTTCTCAGAAGGGTTTCTCCAGAGCCACTCTTGGCTTGCGGAGAGTTGTTTTTTTTTGGGGGGGGGGGGGGGGGGGTGGAGGAGGAGGGAATCCAGATAGGATATGTCAATACAAACCGGTTTTCCTTCTGATACCAGTGCGGCTTGGACCGAATCTCCCACCAAAGCACTGCCAGGGTTGACTAGAACCGCACATTAATATATTACTCAAACAGGAATGGGTCAGATTTCCATTTCGCACAGAAGGCTTTTGGGCTTCTGGACAGTGTTGGGCAACCTAACCTGGGCTGCGACAGAAGCCCCCTTTCCACCTTGTGGTGCACAGTGGGGAGGGTGTGTCCCTGCAGATAGGAGATTATTCACAGCCGCCTGAGTGGGCCGGCCTCCCCGAACTTCTAACATCAAGAGATACCCTGGCCACCTAATTCACCCCGAACGGTGGCCCAGAAAAGTTACTTGACTATCCTGGGATTACACAGCAATTCCTTGACCAGACTAGCACCACTCCTTCGTCCTACCTCCAAAAGCTTTCCCAGCTCACAAGTCTGGGTCTAGGAGAGACAAGTTATCAGGGAACTGGTCTCTAAGCTGCTGTGCTGAATGCGGTAGGGCATTGCTGTATGCCACAGCCTTGCGGTTTCATTCCCCAGGCACGACTTAGGGCCTATACTAAGTGAAGGAGGCAGGAGATGGGGAGAGGAAAACTTCCAGAAAGAAATTTAATTTGTGTAAATCAAATTGCCTTTGAAAGTTTTGCTATTGAAAGAAAGCCCATTCAGAAAAATGTTTGAGAAGTATTACCACCACACCTCAAAGGCCAAGAACTCTGGTACTACCTTTATTTATCCCAAAGGTGCTTCCTGCTTTTCCTAGGGCTCAGCTTCCTCAGCTTCCTTCATCTTCTGAAAGATGAAGATCCATGGGTAGAAGGTATTATTCCACCAGGCTCATTCCAGAGCTAGGGGAATTGGTGCCGAAGTCCACAAATGCAGTGTTCAGCCTACCCTGCTCTCCCTGGCCTTGGGACTCCTTAACCCCGACCTCAGCTAACTTGCCTAATTGTCATTTTTCTCCAAGGGGGGGTGGGGGGCACGTGGGGCTCTATTGCCTTTTCAAGCAAGAATAAGAGGTTTAAGGGCGGAAGAATTACCCTCCAGTCCTACTCATTCCATACTTCCTTCTGTGATCTCAAATAAGTCCCTGCCCCTTTCTGGACCTCAGTTTTCCCTTTTTTTGGTACCACAAGGAAGAGGCTCGACAAGAATATGCCTAAGTGGCTCCTTGTTCAGGTAGGATCTCACCCGATCTTTGACTTAAGCTAGAAGACCAGATATGCCTTCCCCATCGTTCAGATGGGGAAAGTGAGGTTGAGTGCAGGCATGGAATACAGTTCTGAAGGACGTAAAGGGCCATCAAGCAACCCATAAAAAGCCTTGAAGTTGGGAGGGGGAGACACCCAAGCAGAAATCCCCAAACTAGACCTGGACGCCCCCAACCTGGGCAGTTTCTCAGCTTTCTTTTATTCCCCAGCCTTGCTGCGGGCTGGAGAAGACAGGCGCAAGTGTAGTGTTACCTGAGATATCATCCTTTCCCAGGCAGGGCCCTCATCCAACCGAAAGGTGAAGAGGGGCGTGGCTCTCCAGATTTTTAAACTGGCCAGGCCTGCGGGCCCCAGCCCCACCCAGGCCTGTCTTGAAGAGGAAGGAAATGCTTTATCGATTAAACGATTATTCAGGCGATTGAACTAATCAAAGAGCCCATCGACCGCCATGAATTACAGTCTTTGTAGACAGCTTGTCTAGAGAGGCAGCCAGGCCAGCCACACAGACCCTCTCGAGCACCCTCTCAGGCTTCTGACCCGCTCCCAGCACATGCACACCCCCCAGTCGCCAGTGCAGATGCTTCTGGAGTCTCACCTACTGGGAGTAGTGGGGAGAGTGGGTGGAGCAAAGGGGGTTTCCAGGTTCCCTTTCCTGCGCTGCCACCCTGGGGGACCTTCTTCATTTCCCTGCCGCTTAGATTTCTGCCCTCACTTCTCTTCAGTCCTGATTTTGGAAACACATACAAGCCTAGGGAATTGTCCTGGGTTTCAAGATACAAGTTCACCCCCCACCTCTCTCCTTTTTGACCCCTACTTAGGGAAGGTGGAGGTAGGGACTCGCAGAACCACAGGGATATGGGGAATGGAATTCTGTCAGGGCCAGAAGTGTATTTGGTTGGGAGTTTAGCTCTTCTGGCCTAATGAGTGAAAGAGGCAACCATACCTGGCTTTTACCTCAGGGCAGACAAAAGCTTCCTGCAGCCTGCCACCTCCTCTCCGACATAAACACCCACTGCTACCCACTGCCTGGAACTGTGGGAGGCACATCCGGCTCTGTGCCAGAAAGGCCTGCCTGTGCATATACAGGTTCAGAGGTGTATAACTGCCCCAGTTAGACACACGGGTCCACCTACTTTCACTCTCTTCCTGGCACCCACAAGATAAAACTTGGGCATTGCATGCGTGCACACACACACACACGCACACACACACCAGTGTCAGAGGCTTATCTAGGTAAGAGTTAAGGCAGGCTGGGGATCCCTAGGAAAGTCACAACTAGCTTATAGGTAGGCTGCCTCCTCTCACCTGCCAGGATTTTGCCTGCAACAGAAGACCCTTTTGTATAAATGGTAGGCTCAATAGTACCTACAGAGTGAAGCAGTGTACACCACAGTGTACACCACAGGTTCCGTTCTCTCAACTCAACGGAACCTGAGCCCGACTGATGGCAGGCTTAGTACAACAGACCCCCACAGGTCCCAGACCTATCTTTGTGTCTAGAGGCAGGCACTTTTGTATACATGGGTATATGCCCAGTAAAAAGTGGCTGACATCCAAAAATGGAGGGGTCAGTGTAACCATCTTATTCTTACTTTCAGAATCACTTGAATTGTGACAAGCGAACACAGACCCTTAAAGGATTAGATGTACAGACACTCGTCAAAATTTTACACATATATAGCCACGCATAGACATACATTTTGGATACTCAAAAGAACAGAACCCAGGAACAGCAACTCATAAACAAATACTAACAGATTCATGAATATAAATACACACACACACGCACATAGAATCTCCAACACACACACTTCCTCTACATACATATATATGAACATACACATATATATGTACATATACATATATATATAAAGGGACACACAAATTGTCATTGTCACTCATGCACACTCTGAGCCCCTATGTAAACACACAGACCCAAACTTTCAGACCTCCAGATAAACATCCACATGAAAATTCAGAAATAGAGAAAAACACACGCAAACTCACAAACAGTACGCAGAAGTGTGCGAACAGATCGTTGAAGAGAAACGTGCCGCAGACAGACGTGCAGTCAAAATCCTTGCGAAAATGAGGCGCACCCCCTCCCCCAGGGCCGAAGTGTCTGAGGACCAGCGCCCCGCTGGGTCTCTTGAGTTAGCAAGCCTAGAGCGCGTATCGCGGTCCTACCTGTCCTGCCGGTCCGAGGAGTCGGGTAATTTTTCTCTAAATCCATTTTGATTTTTCAGAACTTGATGTAATGGACAGGGAAAAAAAGTTTCCACTTTTTTGTGCTTTTTTTTTTTTTTTTTGGTGTCAGGGGCCGCTCACAGGTCGGAATAATTCAAGCCTTCCGCTCCCCCGCCGAGCTGGGGTAGCTGATCACTGAGCTGAAACTAAACGTTTTAGGTGGAAAAAAAGCGTCCGAAGGCACCGTGAAATGATTAAGGAACTAAAGAGCTTCTCGCCATGTGAGATCATGTCCTGTTCTCGCCAACATCACAAGATGTCCCCAGACACGCCGCGCCCCCAGCGTGCCGCCCCGCACTGCAGGCCCCGAACTGGGAAAGGGTGTCCGCGCTCCGCGGCCCTGCCTGCTCAACGGGCCAGACGGGGCGGGCCGGGCCGGGCCGGAGCAGCGCAGGAGGCCGGGAGAACCGCAGTACCGCCGCCGCGCCGCCCTGGACTTTTATAGGGGGCTGGTGGGGGAGGGAAGGAAGGCTTCAACAGAGCCGGGCGCTAGCCTACACTCTTAACGGCAAGGGGCCGACCATAGGCGAGCCGGGAGCCCTGGCCTCGCGGCCGCAACTTCTACAAATCTCTGAGTCTGGGTGTCGTGGCCCCCTGTTCGGTGCGCGAGGCCGGTGACCCCTGTGGGTGCAAACCCTTCCACGTAAGAGGGTTTAGGCCACGTTTTTGTTTTTTAAGAAACTAGCCACTCTCCCAAGCAGGTGCAATTTGGAAGGGCTTTAGAGGCAAGCAGTGTTGCCGGGCATAGAGAGGCGTTCCAGTTTCCTCAGAGTCACCCCTAGGGCGGCGCCCGCCCCCTGGAGTTCTCAGCCACTCCACCCCGACCCGATCTGCAGCTGTAGTACTATTGCTGAGTCTCGGGCAGAGCCAGAGCCCCCCAAACACCCCAGTACACACCCTGTCCCATCCTGGACGGGAGCACAGACGGTAAGCTGTGAAATGTTGGAGATAAAATCCGGGCCTCCTCTTGGGAGAACCGGCGCTGAGCAGAACCAACTCAGGAGGTCCCGAGGGTTGTCGGGAGTTCCGGACACCTTACCCCGGCCCATAAGTGGAATCCCCTGGCCCGCCGGCCCCGAGCCGTCGCGGTGTCCGGAAGCCCCAAGACTTGATTTCAGAGGGGACATCAGCCCGAGAGAGGCCGGGCAAAGGTTTGGCATGTTCAGCCTGCTCTCTTCGGCCCGGGCTCAAGACTTCCCTCCCCTTTCTAGTCCCAAGTCCCGAGTCCAGCTGCTTGGCTTGGCCACTGGAAGCCGTGGGGCCCCGCTGCGGGGTGGTCGCAGGGGCAAGGTCCTCTACGGGCGGGGGAGAGATCCGCAGGAGGACTCTTGGCCCGCCGGACAATGCAGTTTCCAAAAGTGAGCCGTCCTCAGAGTGTTGTTTGTTTTTTGGAGGGGGTGGTCACGAGGATGGGCCGCAACCTAGGGGGAAGAGCCCAGAGCTCGAGAAAAAGGGGGCGGGGGGCGCGGGAACCGGACATCACTTATCCACTGAGCCGATTTCACCACAATCGGAAACGTGGCTGTGGATTCCCCGGCGGCCCCCTCCCCCACCCCATCCCCCCAAGTAGTCTGCGCAGTCCCCCTGCGCCGCCTCTTCCTGCAGCCTACGGGTCCGGGTCCCTGCCCCGGAGACTAGATTTTTGGGCACCTCCGAGCGCTGGACTCTCCCTCGGCAACCGGGCCCAGCCCCTGCTTCCCGCCCTCCCGCCCTCCCGCCTAGCCCGCGCGGGGAGGCCGAGCCGGGGAGGAGCGGCCTTCAGCGCCTAAAGCCCTCCCGGAATTGACATTTCACCCTGGGCTGAGCACGGGAGTTGTTTGGGTTGTTGTTGGGTTTTTTTCTATTTATAAGGTTTGTTTTGGTTTTGTTTGTTTTCTTTTCATTATCTGAGAGTCTTTTGTTGCTGGTGTTTTGCGTGTTGGTTTTTCGTGGATTTCATTTTAGCGGGTTTTGCTCTGTGAATTTTGGTCTTTGGGGTGGATTTTGTTTTCTGTCTTGTGTTTTGATTTCCGTGTGCGTGTTGTATTTTGTCCTTGTAGACCGTCGTTTTGTGTGTCGCTTGAAAGGCTGTTCGTTCTGCGCGGTGTTTTGATGTTTTTTTTATTTTGTACTAGTGGGTGTCGTTTGTGTGTTCTGCGTTAGGTGAATTTCGTGTTTGTTTCGTTTTCTTCGATTTTGATTTTGTTTTTATGTGCAGTGCGTTTAAGGAAGGTTTTGGCTTATGTTTTCGTGTGTTGGCTTCAGTTTTTGTGTTTGTGGGATGCTTTGGTGAGTGTTGCGTATGTTTAGCTTTGTGTTGGGGGGGGTGTGATTAGGGAGGGGACACTGATCACTACTTCATTCCTGTCCTCAACCAGGAAAGGCAGAGGATTAGGCCAAGCACCAAGAGCCTTGGATTCGTGGTGCTCGGAAATACCTGACCCCGGCACCACCGCGTGGTACTCTGAGCGCTCCAGACCTAAGCGAAACAAACGTGCGTTCCCGAGGGGGCGCCCGCCCTCACTCGTAACCCCGCCGGTAGTGTGGCACCAGTGCCCAGAATAACTCACAGGCCCCCCCCTTCACTTGGGGTACCCAGGCCCAATCGCCACCTCTTTGCCCACCCTATCCGTTGTGGATCGACCTCCCCTTGTGCCTGGCCAGCCTGCTTCGGACCTCCCGGATTCTCGCGGCGTTGGACCGAAGGACGCTCCCTGCCGCGGAGAGAAGGTGGTGAATCTCTTCGGGGGACCCGGAATTAACGCTGCGGCCCTAGAGATACTGGACAAGGGGCTACGGGCGCTCCGAGTCTAGGCGCACATCGGCATCTGGGCCCCGGAAAAATCCCCGATCTCACTTGCCCGTAGCCCTAGAATCCTAGAAACCCAACTCCGCTCAGCTTTCGGTTTGGAGAGCTTGCCCCAGTTCACCATCGACACACAAATCCACACTCAAACATAGGCATACTCAGCTAGAGAGCGAGCGAGCCCGCGCCTCGGTAGCAGCGGCCTGCGTGGCTGAATCAGCGCTGGCACCATCTCAAGGGGAAGCCAAACTGTAGTGACCGGAACTGTCCCAAGGACACAATAAGGGTTTTTGTTTCTTTCTTTCTTTCTTTCCACGTCGCCGGAACTTCTTCAACCTCGAAACACCTGGATTTGTTTAATGCTACACCGGGGAGAAAAGGAGAGGTAAATTTAGAGAGGCAGAGCCATCTACCTACTGGCTAAACCGGCGAGGAAGTGCGGGGAGAATCTCTAGAGAGAGAAATCTGGAGAGGTAGAGACAAGACTGTGCGGAAAGGTAGATTGGAGACCCAGGAAATGGGTTGGTGCGGAGAGTCCTCCAAGGCCCCCCGCGCGCGCTGGCATTCCGAGAGAGGGAGAAAGCAGAAACCGAGAACAGAGTGACAGGAAGAGTCGCAGAAGAGGTTGGCCTAGGCACACAGCGAGCTTCCCTCCAGCTAAGACGCTGCATCCCGGGGACTGGGAGGCCGGCGTCGGGAGGTGAGGAGTCTAGGTTCTGCTCTGCGGCCAAAAAACACCCGAAGACTCCAGGGTTTGTGGAGCCAAGACTGAGGCTCGATTTCTGCCCAGCGCCACCCCGAGACCCGCAGCCCGGAATCCAGGAAAGGTTGGCCCACCGCGGTCCGCCGGTGGGCCTCTCTCTGCGTGAGCCCTGGGAGCAGCCGCGGGGAACGACTCCGGCCCTGTGGCTCTGGTCTGGAGCCTACCCTGAGGGCGGATGGGAATCGACAACCAGCCCAGTAGCTAGGAAGAGGCCCCGCCCTAAAGCTGGGGGCCCAGTTCTGGGAGCGGCTGAGGCCACTGCGGAACTCGCCGAATTCGGGGTCCGTGCTGCGCGCACGTGGCACCGCACCTTCCGCAGGAGGCGCCGCCGTAGCCCAGCCCCGCCCCGCTGCGTTTGCTGGGTCTGGATGGTGTCAGGCTTGAGAGTGGACGCTAAGTCCGGACGAGTAGATTCCGTACGGCCTAAGCTTGGGGCTTCCCTAGGGGCGGCGCCCGGGTGAATGGGGGCGCCTCTTCACAGGCAACTAACTCCCCGGCCGCAGAGCGCAAAAAACGCGCAGCGCAGGCCAGCCGCCGACGCCGGTTTTCCAGCGGTGCCCGCGGTGCAAAAGGGCTGAAGAATAGTTTGGGTTGAAGCACCCTTTACTACTGGCATTGGGGTGCTCTGCACAAAAAGGGCTTCGAACTCTGGCTGCTGGTTCGAACTCTGGTTCGCTGGGACACCATGTGCTAGCGCCTCTTCACCCAGAGACACAGGCGTAGTGCTAGAAAACCCGATTGGGGTTGTCTTTAGGGATCTGAGGCTCATGGTGGGTTATTGCTAGTCTTGCTTTACTTTACTGTCTTTCTTTCTTTAATTAGGAGTGTTATTGAGAGAAGCCTCAAACAGCGCAGACTCGGGTCATTTGAATGGGTTCATTTCAACTGAAATCGACTCAGTTCAGTTTCATGAATGGTTTCCAACGCACAGGTACACATGGCAGACGTCAAGTGAATGCTGCATACAGGGACGCGATTTGAGGGCAACTCTTGGAGAATTCAGAGATAAAATTCACTATCCTGTGATTACATTCACAATTATATGAATATGGGAAACAGGGAGTCAGTTGCATTTAAATTTTGCCAACGCGTCCCAGCAACCCAGTAATATTAGCTAAGAACCCAAAACGGGACACTGAAAAGATTTACTGTCACTCTGATTATTTAAGATTGAAAACAGTGTAGATCAGTTTATTTCTTCCTATATATCCTTTTAAATTTAACAATACCATGATTTGTAAGTAATAAAATCATATTTTGCCAAAGAAAATTTATATGGAGGATGTTTAACTTCTACCAATATTTATACGATGAACTGTTAGCTTTCCCCACCCCCTTTTTCTTCTGCTATTTCTCCGAGTAATGTAATGTGAGCTTTAAATATTCATGTGCCAACCCGGACTTGCATTTATTTAATATGTTTTAAACTAATAACATTTTAATGTGATATAATTTGATTCCATGAAGTACAGGAACATAAAGGAGCCTACTTCACAAGCGATTTTGAGTGTGTGCACGGGTTAAACAATTCTTACAGTTTTTGGACACGGATCAGAATGTTAAATGGAGGTGAAGAGCCCCTGT